TGCTAGTGCCCCAGAACAGTGGAAATGATAAGAAACCTTGGACACAGGGCAAAAGGAATCAAAGAATACTAACTTCTGCCTGAGGGAAAGAAGAAAACAGGAAAACCAGCATCTACAATAGAGGTTCTAATAACCGATCTCTATTAAACAAGTCTGCAGATTATACCACGCTCTCCCTTTCTGCTGTCAACCATTAGAACTGCTGTCTACAGTATCCTGACGGCTTGAGATGAATAGATTACTTTGTAGAATGTTCATTAGCCAATTTATGTGCTTGTCAGAAAGTCAGCAGTGTTTGTGTTGACTAGTTTATGCCAGTTATACATGTTACTGTAATTATGTAACTTTATTCTGTAAACCAATAAAATATGAGTGCAAAAAGCAAGAGTTGTCACTAAGAAAACTAAGCGGAGTGCTTTGGAGAGACTCCGGACTCAAATTTGCTTAAAAGTGAGATCAGGTGAGACAAGTATAAGAGACTGGGATACACAATAAAAATCTAGAAATATCCTGCGGACAGATTACTTCCCAAAAGCCAAAGTTCTTATTCCATTTTGAATAAAGATGAAATTCATAGATCTTATAGGAGAAGTTTGTGCAAGTAAAAGGACAAACTTTAATCAGAAAATGACCTTGTCCTTGTATCAAAACATTAGCAAACAAATATATTATGTATGTCTTTTAAATCAAAATAAAATGTATCTTACATGTACCCCTATGTTCATAGCAGCACTATTCACAATAGCCAAGACACGGACACAACCTAAACGTCCATCGGCAGATAAATGGATAAAGAAGATGTGGTACACACACACACACACACACACACACACACACACAATGGAATACTACTCAGCCATAAAAGAAGGCTGAAATAATGCCATTTGCAGCAACATGGATGGACCTAGAAATTATCATACTAAGTGAAGTAAGTCAGAAAGAGAAAGACAAATACCATATGATACCACTTGTATGTGGAATCTAAAATATGACGCAAATGAATATATCTATGAAACAGAAACAGACTCACAGATGCAGAGAACAGACTTGTGGTTGCCAAGGGGGATGGGGGTGTGGGAGGGAAGGATTGGGAGTTTGGGGTTAGCAGATGTAAACTAGTATATATAGGATGGATAAACAACAAGGTCGCACTGTACAGCGCAGGGAACTATATTCAATATCCTGTGATAAACCATAATGGAAAAGAATATGAAAAAGAATGTAAACATATATATGTATAACTGAGTCACTTTGCTGTGAAGCAGAAATGAACACCACATTGTAAATCAACTACACTTCAATAAAATAAATTAAAAAAATGAAATGGATCTTTTTAATGATTGTTTCTTTCTTCAATCAACTTTTCCAATTAAACAATCAACAAATTAGTTGTCTCTCCTGCACTGGATATGAGAACATCACTGATATTGAGATCTGCCCTTTTTCATACCTTTTCTAAGTCTGAACAGCTACTATATGCCTAATACAATGTTGCCACAGAGTGGGGTTCTCCAAGAACTACAGTCTCAGACTTGTTCTCAGAGCAACAATGAAAACAAGAGTGACTCAGAGTGACCAAATATTTGGGAAAAGCTTCAAGCCATGCCCCCTCTTGCAAATTCACGATGCCCCCCTAGTATACTAAGGGTAAAGAAATAAGCTAAACTTCGTATAACCAGATTTTCCCAAATCTGTTTCATCAGGGTACCCTTTCTTGGGAGCAACACCTATAACATCCTGTAAAGGCACCCACTTTGGGAAGCAATGCTTTGGGGCCCAGAGAAGAGGTATCATGTATGATCTCTATTCTTAAACAATTTACAGCTGAGTCAGAGATATACAACGTGTAGATTCGACACACACATATACACACAGAACAGGTAAGTAACAGTATTAGTCAATGTATTCTTAGGGTCAAATGATGGGGGAATCAGGAGGTATTACAGATCAGAACAACAGATCAGTCATCCACCTCTAAATAACTTTCACAGATGTTGGGCCTTGGCCTCAAAAACTTGCTCTTGGTCTGCTGTTCTAGAAAGTTCACATTTCTTGAGTGTGATTGTGTATCAGGCATGGCTCTTTACATAAGTTATCTCATTTAGTTTTCTCAGCCATGGAAAATGGGTATTATATCCTTTTTCAAAGAAATAAAATGATTGCCCAGCTAGTGGAAGGGCCTCAATTCATACTCCTGTCTGTCTGGCTTGAAAGCCTGTCTTCTTTCCACTGCGCCCTGTTACGAACAGCCTTCACAGGCTTTTTCCTGAGCCAGGGTTTAGGGGAACTGTGTGCCCACCTGTATCTGGGGAGCCAGCCTTGGCCTGCACGGGACAACTGCGTCATGCTAAGTCCCTAGAGCCTGGACTTCTCCCCATCTTTTTCCTCCCCCTCTTTCAGAAGTTCCGAGTTCTGACTTTAAAGGCCCACCGGTCACTCTCTTGTCCTCTCTCCATGGCCTCTGTGGGGAAGGCATTAAGTGGAGGAGGACTTGCCAATGTCAAGGCTTTATCAACAGTATCCACACTGAGTGCCCTCTGAGCTGCAGAGGGCCCGGGGCGGGTGACGGCCTCACTCACACTGTTCAGCAAGTCCCCGCCCCGCCATCATTCCAGGTCCCTTCTGCAGCTCTAACCTGGGTCCTTCTTTCCCCTTTGCTTTGTGCTCAGCTGCTACACCCTCTCTTCCCTGCCTCTACCTTCCTCTGCCTTCCCACGTCCGGCTGGGGGTGGCCGTAGAGTGGAAGGGAAAGACCCTGAGCCTTTGAGGGGGCAAAGGGCAGGGCGAGAGGCAAGACATGAACTGAGTCCAAGGTCAGAGGAGGGATGGATAGTGTGACCCTCTGTCTCAGGCTGAAGACTTAACTCAGCGGTGAGTTGCCATCGGGTACGGGAGGCACCGGAAGTGACAGGAGTCAGCGGGGGGCACTGGCCTGGACATCAGGCCCCTCTCCCTCCTATACTTGCCTTTTCTACCCTCAGAAGTAAGGCTGTAGGTGTGTTCACATCAGTCTTCAAACATGCACAGGATGGGGGTAAGGAAAGGAAGAGAAGCGAGGGAACGAACATTTAATAAGACCCAGTGTGCTAGGGTCTTTGCACTCATTCCACTGCTCCGTCATGATCGCCACAAGAGGTGAGTGTGGCCAGATCACAGAGCAAGAGGGAAAGCCTAGATGTGAAGCTGGGCTTGGTTGCCTCAAAAGCCCATGAGCTTTCCACCAAACCCACAGCCCTACAGTTACACAGCAACACAACGTAACACATGGCCTCCTCTAGGTCCACGGCTGGGGCCGGGGAGGTAGCCTGGGTGCCCCCAACTTGGGTGTTACAGCTCAGTGCACAGAGACAGAACCTCCCCTACAGAGGCCCTCTTCCCGGCGCTGGGGCTGGGAGCTTTGCACAGACACTGGGCTCTCAGGGCCACCAAGTCCATCTGAGCCCTCTGGCTCTCTAACAACATGGAAGAGAGAACAGGCAGGAGACCTGGGCATCCCCACGGCGAGCTCCAGATACTGAGTCAGAGCAAGACGCCGAGGCTGGGCCTGGCTTCATCACTAGGCTCCAGGAGTCTCTCCAACTTCCTTTCCTGGCTTTAACCCTCAGCCTTCCAGCGCTTTCTCTCCAAATTTGGGTATTGTTTGGTCCCAAGGTAGTGCCTTCAAGATGTGCTTCCTCAGCAAATGCTGGGGCGGCCCTGAGTCCTCATTCCCCAGGGTTGGCGGGGAGGGTGTACATACCGGTGGGGGGCGCAGAGCTCAGGGCACATCCAGCACCTCAGAGCAGTTCTGGCCATCTGCTGGGGGGCAGGAGATCCTAAGATCCCCAGGCCTGGGCGCCCTGGCTCTTGGAGGCACTTTCATTTCAAATAAAGGGCTGATGATTGACTGATTAATTAGTTCCCACGATCCGCTGGCTTTCCCTCCTTGTCTCTGAAGAAAGAGTCCCCCTAACTCCTGGTTCTTCCCCACACTTTTCCGACCCATAAATCTACAGCCCCAAGCTTGGTATTTGTTTTCTGTCTGTGTGTCTATTACTCATGCCAGGCTTGCAGTTCACTGGGAGCCGCCTGTGCTCGAAGAATCTACCTCCCCACCCCAGACACACACACACACACACACACACACACACACACACACACACACACACACACACACACACTCAGCCCAGACAGAGTCACTGGCTTTCTTTATTGCTCCAGCCCTTGAATGACACTAGGAGGTTGCCAGTGATAATAGTGTTAAAGTCACTTCTGATATTCAAGGCCTGTCTGCTGCAACTTACACTGCACACAAACACAACTACCGTCATGATAGGTGCACAGGGCAGGTGCTTTATAAACATTATACCTAAATCCGAGGCTGTGTCGTCATTTTGCGAAAGAGGCTCATGAAAGCAACTGCTCTGCGTTTCTGAGCTCGGCTGGTTACGTGAGGCCAGGATTTCTGCCTGGGCGGCTCCTCCGGGGGGTGGGCTCAGCCACGGCTCCCCAGTCTGTGCCTGCTCTGGCTGCCCTGATCAGAGGGAAATGGACGCACACCCTCTGCTTCCCCCCCGCACGGAGGACTCGGGAAGCAGAAGAGTCCTGATGGAGAATCAGCATTTTCTTCCACGGGAGAGGGCAGGGGTGAGCATGGCTGACTGCGGGAGGAGGTTCTGAACCAGAAAGCACAGCCCCGGTTCCCACGGAATCTCTCCCTGTCCCTGAAACCATCCTGTCCTCTTGCCCAGTACTGCGTTCTCTCCAGAATGTGTCTGTCCCCATTCCCTCATCGATGTCACACTTCTTTGAGGCAGGAGCCGCAAGCACTGGAACTCCCAGCTGTAGGTCCCATTTAAGCCTCCCTCTGCCCTGGCCTCTGGAAGATGGTATCCCTATCAGAGGGCCTCTCGTTGAGGCCACACCCTCTGCAGATCTAGGGATGATGGTCTGGTGCCCCAGGGCTTATTCATACCCCACGCTGCAATTCCACACCCCAACGCACACACACACACACTCACCATGAGATGCTGGAAGAGCCAAGAACGCATTATATTGGTGGCATGCTTGGGCAAGACTCCTCGTTTGTTCTTGGACTTCTTATCCTCATTTTCCAGGAGGGAGGTGAGGTCAAGGTTAACCTTCAGGGCACGTGGAGAAAAAATCAGCATCAGCAGCCTGGCGGGCCAGCGGCTAGGGACCTGTTGCCATAGAGACGGCAGCCTCTCGCTGCCAATCCCCTTTCCCAACTCATTCTGAGGGCCGGGGGAGGTTACCTTTCCTGTCACCCAGTGCCAGCCTCTCAGAGGATGGGAGAAGGGAAGACGGTGAAGAGGGAGGAGACAGAGGAAACAGGGTCATGCAAAGGGCACAGGAGAGAGATTTGCCGTAAACCATCCAATAGTTATTAGCATTCCTGGGGTACATTAGAGTCTGCACAGCGCTTTCCTATCCATTACCGTGCTCAGCCCTCACATCAGCTCTGTAGGCTGGTGGGGCTAGTGTGCAGCTGGTGTTAATCCCTCGTCTATGGATAAAAACTCAGAGGCTCAGAGAGGTTAGGTGACTTATCCGAGATGGCAGAGTTAATGTCAGATCTCGGACCTCTGACTTCAGATCTTCTCACTCCCACCCTGGCCCCCTTGTGTACGCTCTACCCCACTGAGCTACAGAGTGGCTCGGAGTGTAGACCAGGAATAGGAAGTGCAGGATCCCTCGATGTAACCCCGAGAGGCAGCAAAATCCCAGTTGATAAAACCTTCCCAACACCCACCTTCTTTTCTGTCAAGTGGGGGTAATGACACCCCTTAGAGGAATAATGAGGATGTAAGGAGTTACTGGTGTAAAGTGCCTAGCAGGCAGTAAAGCGTTACGGTTGCCCTCCCCCAAACCCATGCACGTATGCACACACCTACACTGTACACACACACTCACCTGTGTGCTCTGGATCTGGATGGCTCCCTGGGGGATTGCTTGGGTGACCACCTGACCCTGGGAGGTTACCATGGTAACCGGCTGGTATAAGGCTCCACCTGAGGAGACAACCACTTTTGGAGTCCCCTGCCATAGGGGTGGGTAGGAGTGAGGGCAAGCAGGGTTCCCAATGCCCTTGGCACTCACGTGTAAACACCCTCTGCTCTGGAGGCATTCAGCCCCTGTGGAGGAGGGGTGGGACAGGGATGGGGTCCAGAGAATAGAGTCTCTCTGTGTGTTTGGCGGAAGGGTCTCTGACGGGCTAATGAGACTTTGACCCAAATTTGTTCCAAACCACCATCATCAGGTCTTGCTAACCATCTATAAGCTTACAGAACACTTTAGTCAAGAAACGCAGCTGGAAGCCCCTCCCTCGGCAGGGGGCACCTCTCCCATTTCCTAGGACATTTTGTTCAGTGCCCTGCCCCCCAACCCTGGAATTCCCTCAGGGCCACCCGGCCTCCTCCCAGGGGTGTTCCCCACAATCCGCTGCACACACCTGACACCACTTGTGAGTTGACAGCTGTCATGGCGATGTTGCCCTGCTGGAGCGCTGAGGCTGGGACCACAATCCCCTGGGGGTTATTGGAGACTCCAGACATGGAACTGGGGGAATTCTGCAGGAGGTCCTGGCAGTAAGGGAGGCGTGGTTTGTGACAATGCCACTAAGAGCTTAGATGCCACAGCCCCAAATTTCTCCTCTCCCCTCCCCCTTCCTGCCTTCCCTCCTCCCTTTTCCTGCTCCTCCCAGACCCAAATCCAGAAAGCAATTCTCATGGCTCCCTAGAAAGTGTGAAGAGGGCTCAATCTGAAAAAAAACCAACCAACAATAGTCATGCATTTAGCCATTCCGTTCCCCTGCAAACCTGAGACGTAAATTACCCCAGAAACCAGTGGTCCCCACTTTGGCTTCACTTCGCAAGTTCCAGTATCCGTACCTAGGTTCCACCGCCGGCGATTCTAATTTAATTGGTCAGGGGTGTGGCCAGGGCTTTCGGCGCGGGGGTGGGGGCTTGAGGCTAACATAGGCCCTGCCACTCAGCTCCAGCTCTGCTTACTTACTGTATCTAGAAGAGTGGTTCTCAACTGGTCGCCATTGTCTCCTCAGAGGATTTTTGGAAATATCTGGAGACCTTCGGGGGTGGGGGGGGGAGGGGCGGGTGTTGAAAGCTCCCCAGGTGATTCCAACCCCAGGCCAGGGTTTCACCTGCACATCCTTAGCACTCAGTTGTCTCCAGATGCCCCACCCCCACCCCAGGGCCTCGCTTCCCCGTACCTGTATCTCAGCACTTATTACACCAAGATCCACACAAAGTGGCCTCCGACATATTCTCTTTGTATCCTTAACACGTAGTTTAGGGCCTGACACATCACGGCTACTAAAATATTTGCTAAATAATAATAAAAAATAGCCGCCTGGCCCCTTCATAACCCGTCTTCCAGGAATCTCACGCGAGCCTCCCCTCAGCCAGCCTCGGGCACATTCCATCGGCTGCTTCCTCTCCCTCAGGCCCCCAACACAGAGCCCACCACGGAGGTCCCCTCCGCCCCACACTGTCACTGCCTGCCCCTTTCCCCCAGACAATCCAAAGCAGCTAAGAAAACCATTTTTCCCCCTGGTACCCTCATCATTGCCACCTAAGAGCTGGGCTAGGACCGCTTAGACTTGATGTAGAGGGACAGGAGGGAGGCCCAGCCGTGGGTCTCCAACAAGGGCAGCAAGTCCTCCCTGCTTGGCGGCCGGGCGCTCTGCTCTGCTCGGGAGGATTTGTGAGGACGGAATTGGGTGTGACAGGTCGGGGTCTCCAGGCTTCATCTGGAGACAGCAAGGCAGGCGCGAATGAGGTGTAGTGCCCGGAGCCCGAGGAGACCCACCAGGGTCGCTTAGCGCCCAGCCTCCGGTGCCCCCGACCACAGGCCCACGTGTAAAAACAGGGCTTGAACCGGGTAACCTGCCCCAAAGGCCAGCTGGAAGGAATTAGGCAGGAAAACGGCCAAGGAAATAGGGGGGGGAAAGGAGGCCTCTGGCTTCCTAGCTTTGGTTTTAGAACCAGAGGAGCTTGGGCCTTCGGCTGCAGGAAGGTCTAGAGTGTGGAGTGAGGAGAAACGTGTGCTTGGAAGAAACCTGGAGCCAGTGACGGCACACAGGGAGAGCGACAGACAAAGGAGAAGCCTCAAAGGCCAGGGGACAGCCAGGGCGCATCACCTCCCAGACCCTGGCACCCGGGAAGCTGGCCAATCCTCTCACAGAAAGAGGCAGTCGGTACTGACTTACACGTCTCATTCGATTCAGCTGCTTAACCCGCCTTGGCATCTCCTCCGAGCTGCCTTTTCTACCCTTCTGTACTGTCCGGCTCAGGGCTATAAATACGCAGCAGCGGCGCGGGAGTCTGGCTTCCCCTCCTCCATGCCCGGGCCTCCCACCTGGCTCCTGGGAGGAGGCCTCGCTCCCATACTCGGCTCACCTCTGCGGCTGTGACCTTGGGGAAGGGAGGGAGCGGCTCCTGCCTCAACTTTTCCTTTCTGGGATCGGCGAGGGCCTCCCCACCAGCGAGGTTTATTCTTTGAGCAGAATTCTTGGCCTTCTCATTTGTACAGCTCCGGGGTAACACTGAGTCTGACCTGCAGAAGCCTAGGGACTGGAAGGGCCCTTACAATCGAGTATTTCAGCTCCCTGAGGTACAAATAAGGAACTGAGGCTTAAGACATCCAAGCGACTTGCCCACGGTCCCCCAGCTGGGTAGCAGCAACAGGGCTACAACACAGTCCTCCGTCCTCCACAAACACTGGACCCACACCCTGTGCCAAGAACTGGGCTGCAAGGTGCTCCTGGAATCACAGCGGTTCAATAGCTGTTGAAGGCAAGTGAGCAGACAAAAACAGCCCACACCTGGAAGTATGGAGACAGCGTGGGCACCCAAGGAATGAAGGTGGATTGGGAATTAGCACGTCATGCCTCAGTCTCCTCACTTATAAGATGTGTCTGGCTCGGTGCTAACACCCAGGAATCCTCAAAGCCTGACTCTTCAGCTGTGAGTCTGCTCCAAGCTTGAGCTCCCCTCGTCCCAAACTCCCAGCCAACCATTCTCCCAGGGTGTAAAGCGGTACTGAGATGACGTGAGGCTGAGGCAAACGTGGAAGGTAAATTTAATGGGGGGCGGGGTATCCACTCCATGCCACTCACCCTAAAACTAATGGCAGTGACTTTTCAACAATCTCTGGTTTGGAATCACCCATGCCACAGTGCTCGTCATTGAATAAGGATATTTGGGAATTTCAAACGTAAAAAGTTGTCCCAGACTTTCTCCTCCAACCCCAACCCCTGCCCCTCGGAAAAAATATCCAGCAAGGTTAGAAAAACACAAGCAAAGCCAGTAAAATAAATATAAAATGTATGTCTTGGGATTCAACCAACACATTTTTACTAGCCAGAGGCAAAAGGGTGAGCTATCACCTGGATATTTCACCGGCTTATTCAAACTCTGGCTGGTTCTCAGACTTGTGGCTTGGCTAGCCTCCATGCCAGCTTCCCCAGTTTAGGTAACTAAAGGCAATTTATGCATTGGCTCAGACCCTTCTCTTTCCTACCCTCTCCTCCTACTCTGGGTCTTTGCTGGGAGGTGCCAAGAGGCCAAGTTACATTAGTAAAGGAATGGGACGGAGAACTTCATGGGTAGAGACCGTGGGCAGGGCCTGGGCTGGCCCCATCTTAGCTGGGACAAAGAGAGGAAGCGAAAACTTGGCATCCCTGAGGTCTGGGGAAATGATATTCATCTCTTACATTTGTAAATATGAGCTGTTTCACAAACCTGCCTGAGAACTGGGGTGTTTTTTTGTTTTGTTTTTATTTATTATTGGCTACATCGGGTCTTAGTTGATGCATGCAGGATCTTTCGTTGCAGCGTGCGAGCTCTTCGCTGTGGTGGCTTCTCTCTAGCTGTGGAGCGCGGGCTCCAGGGCGTGTGGGCTCTGTAGTTTGTGGCACGTGGGCTCTCTAGTTGAGGCGCGCGAGCTCAATACTTATGGCGTACGGGCTTAGTTGCCCCGAGGCACGTGGGATCTTAGTTCCCTGCCCAGGGATCGAACCTGTGTCCCCTGCATTGTAAAGCGGATTCTTTACAACTGGACCACCAGGGAAGTCCCCACTGGGGTGTTTTTTAAGACACAGATTCTTAGGACCATTGAATTAGACCATCAGCAATCCGTGTTTTTTAAAAACCTCCCTCACATGGTCCCAAAGATCAGATGGGTCTGAAAACTACCTATTTATCATACACACTGAATATCAGAGAGCATTCTTTCACTGTGCTATTTCATTTTAATCTCACCACTACCTATGGGGTCAGCAGAGGAGAGATTATTCTATTTGCCTGAAGAGGAATTGAGGTCCAGAGAATGGAAGTGACCTTCTTGAGTCACATGGCTCTGCCTCGAACCCAGGTCTTCTGGCTCCAAGTGTAGCACCGATGCTCCCATGGAGAGATGAGCTTTGGAGTCAGACAGCCAGGCTCCAAGGTAAGCACAGTGCCTGGCACATTTAGGCACCCAATAAATCATTTCCCACTTCCTTTGGCTAAAGTCACGCCACTAGGGAATGGCACAACCAGGATTTAAAACCTGTCCTAGACACGTAGGGCCTCGTGGGTTCCTTACTTAGCAACAGCAGAGGTTCATCCGGGGCTGCACGCCTAGCAGTGGTGGTCACGCCTTGACACATGCCCCTTCGTTCCTGCCTCCCTGCCTCTGGTGTTCCTGGGCCAAGGCCAAGCCCCAGAAGTCGAAGCTGTGGTCTCTGTCCCAGACGAGCTCCGAGACTTGACTTTGCAACTATTTCTGGTGACGCCTTAGTTTCCAGCCCGCTAGAACCTTGTCTCTACGGAGACAATGGGGCTGCGTCTCTGGAGACCGTGTACCGCTCTTTTCTGAGGAAGGATCTACTACAGCGGCAGTGGGAGCCCCCTGGGGAGAAGATGTTGGCTAAGCACACAGAGTTATTATCTTCTCGACAGCTTCCTCCTGGGTCTCAACAGACTCCAAACCAGGTAGATGGTGCTCTGCCTAGACGCACACAGAGCTGTTTCCTGCCAGGCTCCTTGGCCTCATGAAGAGGCTAGGAGCACATTTGGTAGTTTCAGTGACATTTCAACATCCAGAGACTCACATCCCTGCTTGAGTTGTCCAGGAACCAGGGGCTGAAAGCTGGTTATCCAGTCCAGGAATTCTTTGCCATGATCAGGAGCATGACAGTGGTGTCTGCAAGCCTCTGGAAACTGCCAGAAGGCTGGGAATCATGGGCACTTTCCTGGCTCTTCTGGTGGAGCTGTTCCATCGGGCTGGGGAGCATGCAGTCTCTTACTTTCTAGTAGGAAATGGGCCAAAAAGCTGAAAACTTAGAGTTCCCCAGCAATGACGTCTTTTAGGGCATGGACCAGGTGACCAAGAAGTCAGATGGAAGTCAACGAGCTGTCCTCCACAGACCTCATCCCACTGTTGCTCCTTGTGTGCTGTTTCCCAGAGACACAGAGAGGCCAAGAGGCTCTCGGGAGGGGCAGAGCGAGGTAGGGGAGCAGCTTTAGGATGGCTGAGAGCTTGCACTCCTGGACGCCACCTGTGGGCCAGCTTCCAGGCC